GAAAAACTTGGAATAACTGTTTAGCTTATATAGCGGTTCAACGGGATAAAATAGTAATTTTAGTATTTCAGTTGTAAATTAACTTTAATTTTGAGATAAATCATAAAATTAAATATTTTTAAGTAAAAATAACATTAAAAATGAATCCAAAACGTCGAAAAATTTTAGGGCAGTCATATGGATCAAAATTAGAAACTTTAGGGCAGTCATATGGGCAAATTCATAATTTTGGAGAAAAAATGTATTTTTCAGCCCATAAATAGTGGATTTCGAGACTGCTGTGTTTAAAACACAAATTTCAGCCCCTTTTCTTCCATTTTTTCATTCTACTCTTACCCAAAACCTCTTAGAACTCTAGGAGAAGATAAAGGGAAAGAGAAAGGNACTGCTGTGTTTAAAACACAAATTTCAGCCCCTTTTCTTCCATTTTTTCATTCTACTCTTACCCAAAACCTCTTAGAACCCTAGGAAAAGATAAAGGGAAAGAGAAATGGGAAGAAGAAGGTCCATAAAATTTGGAGTTTGCTTGAAAATCTTAGGAATTTGGCTTGAAATTCTTGATTCTTAGGTGGAATTTTCCTTTCTCTTGCATTTACATTGTACATCTCATGTATTTTCTTTAGTTAAAGCTTACTATGTGGTTGATGGCAAAATTCTTGTTATAAACCTTGATATAGTGTTGAATATGTCATGGATTTGTGAACCTACATGCATAAAAACGATTTTAGTGTGGTGGGTTTCAAACGCTTGTTTGATTTTAGTTATGGGTATTTGATTAAACTTATGATTTGGGAGGTTTTGAAGTATATTATAAACTTGTACAAAATATAACTTATTCTCTTGGAAAAGGAAATGATTTTAGTGTTATGGGTTTGAAACCCTTGTTTGATTTTAGTTATGAGTATTTGATAAAACTAATGATTTAAGGGTTTTAAAGTATGTTATGATCTTGTACATAATATGACTTATTCTCTTGAAAATGTAAATGCCCTAATTTTTTAGTTATGGGTATTTGATTAAACCTATAATTTGGGGGTTTTAAAGTATGCTATTATTTTCTACATAATATATATGACTTACTTTCTCTCGGAAATAGTTGTGTTGTTTTGGAAATGCAATTTTTGAGATTTGAGCTTACCACATGTTTGATAAAATGTCAGTTATGACATGTGTTTTCAAAAGAATTTATGGATATAGAAAATAATGATTTCTGAAAATTTTATGCTCAATACTAACAGGCAGAGGTTAGTAGAGGGTTGGGGCCTATTGAGTGGGTTGCTAAGGCGACTACTAGTCCTAAGGGGGATTGGTTATGGTAGTGATTTTCGGTGATGACCTATGTGGCATCACAAGTTGTGCCCTGCACGTTCCCCTTGAAAAGCAAGAAGGGCGAAAAGACCCTAGGGTGTAAGACCCAAAAGGTTCTCTAGGGATGCTTCATGCGTGAACCGGTGTGATTGATGATATTGTCCGTATGCGAGGCATGCATGATATTTGCAATGATGGTTTGACTTTAATTTATACATTGTATATTTCTAATGTTGAGGTGTTGGGAGATTTTTATAAATGCTTTATTTATTATCTTGTACCTGTATTTAATTATAGAAAGCTTTCATTACTTATTAGTATAATTTGTGGAATGTTGGTTTTTAAAACTTTAAAAATACTTGAAAAAAGGATTATCCTACTGAGTGTGTGGTTGCTCATCCCTTACTAATATTTTCAAAGACTAGCATGCATCTTGGGGCATAAGTGATGAAATGCTTGTAGGAGTTTGGACTAGAAAGAATCTCTTTTGAAATTTTTTGTATTTACTTTTAGAACTTATATAGAAATGTTAGCAATCAAGCATTGTATTTGAAAAGGTGGTCTTGAGGCATTTTTGGTGTACACTTGATCATCCCATAGAGGGATTATTATTTTGGGTGTTGTAATGTAAATTTATGACTTTTGGTACTAAGTTATGGTATATATTAGTGTTGGATGTATTCGGGTTTGGGAGGACTTCGTGAGCCTCTAATTGCCACCCCGAATTTAGTTGGATTATATTTTTAGATTGAGGCATGTTGTGGATGTTTAGTTAGTTTAAATTATGTTATGCTGTCACAGGGATACTCTTACTAACTGGTTGGAAGCCCAATTTTCAAAAGAAACTCTGCTNTAGTTTAAATTATGTTATGCTGTCACAGGGATACTCTTACTAACTGGTTGGAAGCCCAATTTTCAAATGAAACTCTGTTGAAATTTTCAAAAAAAAAAAAAATTGATTTATTTCAACTAAAGAGATATTTTCCTAGATGTTTTTACAACATACAGGCATGTGTTTTTTTTTTAAATAAACAAAGCGTTTGTTTTAATCACACTTTAATAAAATTTGGGACGTGACATAATCATTCAGACCGCCTAACATTAAAAATATTACACACAGACTCCCTAAAGTTTATACACGCATAACACTTAAATCCCTGTTATAAATATATTCATTAATAAATTACATCTAGACACCCTAAAATTTGTAAACATTTATTTTATTATTAATTTTTTAAAATTGCACTGTAACATATGATACATGATACGATACACTATTTTAAAAAATGATACACCTTCTAATACGCGATTTGACAACTATGTTTTTGATTATAAGGGCTGAGTTTGGATGTTGTGGCTGAATTTAAGTGTTAATTTGTTTGAAATTTTAGAATTGAGAAGATGCTGTGACGAAGGTGTTGGGCTGGATTGGACAAGGATTGCTTCGCTACCTCTACATTTTGGTTGGTGTTTTTTATCTTTGGTTCTTGTAATTATGTTGGGTTTGTTTGTGATGAAAAGGCGTATGTGCCTTTCTTTGCTTCTTCTAATGATTTGCTTTGTGAATAAATAAAATTTTTCATTTTGCCAAAAAAAAAAAAAAAAAGCGTTGACAAAAACAAAGCAAGTTGGATTGTAGAGAGTCATAAAACTTTTTTTGAATTATGTGTTCCGGAGGTGGATAATATTTAGTTGGACTATATAGTTTTTTCATATGATATTTTTATTAATATGATATTTTTGTGTATGATATTTTTTTTTGTGTATCAATGTATGTGTAGTGTATGCTTGTATAAGTGCATTAAATGTTATTAACAATTGCGACACAAATAAATATTTTTACATCCAAACATATTTTTTATAAAATACTTTAATTTAAGTATTTTTGATTTTGAATATCCAAATAATACTTATTTAATGAAAGTTTTTTTCTTATAAAACACTTTGATAAACACTTATTGAAAAAGTATTTATGGGATTTCATAAGTCATCCCAAACGCACTCTTAGAGTGCGCTTGGAATGACATATGAAATCCAAAAAATATTTTTTTAATAAATGTTTATCAAAAGTGTTTATAAGAAACATACTTTTATTAAATAAGTATTGTTCAGAAACTCAAAATTTAAAATACTTAAATTAATATATTTTATAAAAAGTACANCACCCTAAAATTTGTAAACATTTATTTTATTATTAATTTTTTAAAATTGCACTGTATCATATGATACATGATACGATACACTATTTTAAAAAATGATACACCTTCTAATACGCGATTTTCCAAACGCACTCTTAGAGTGTGCTTGGAATGACATATGAAATCCAAAAAATACTTTTTTAATAAATGTTTATCAAAAGTGTTTATAAGAAACATACTTTTATTAAATAAGTATTGTTCAGAAATTCAAATTTTAAAATACTTAAATTAATATATTTTATAAAAAGTACATTTGGATGTGAAAATACTTATTTGTGTCACAATTGTTAATAACATTGAATACACATATACAAACATATACTACACATATAATGATACACAAATATATATATATATCATACACAAAAATATCATATTAATAAATGTATCATACGAAAAAAATTATATAATCCAACTATCCCAATAACATACTAAAGTCGCAAAACACATTGTTAATAGTAAATACAATCAAAAATCATACTTGATTGTCTCTTAGAATTATTGATTCAATACGTTCTTTCTTTTTATATATTGGATTTGTATATGACAAATCAATATTCTTAATAAATATATTCCATGTCTGATCATCACACAAGACACCTTCTATTATAGGGTCAATAATTACTTCAGTATGATTAGTCAATTTGTGTCATGAATTCCATACATCCTTAGTAATAGGAAAGTGATTCTTCAATTGTTTTTTATCATACATGACATTTTCTTTTGCCACAAACTCATCTATAATATTCTTTCAACCTCGCTTGTTAAAACTAGTAGTGGGTCGATTCCCTTTATCCACCTCTTTAACACATAACTCAAAAAGAGTTTTATGTCGCTCCACAGTCCAGTTTACTTTATCTTTGTCAAACCTAGAACTACTAAAAACCATCTAAAATAACATCACAAAATACATAAGTTATTAGCACAACGCGTATAATAATAATTAACCTGAACAAAACATTGTATAAATTTCATACATATTTTCTTCTACATGGGCATGATAGGCACAATGAAGAGTTAACATCGAGCTAACAAAGACACACACACAAATACACGCACACACAACAAAATCATTATATATATATATACACACACAATAAGAAAACATAAAAACAACACAATTCGAAGCGCTGCGCAAGAGGTATCTTCGAGAAAGGGGATGAGCCATTGGAGAAAGCATCCTAATTCTAGCATTCTAAAGTGTATCTTTTTATTTTTATTTTTTTTCCAATTTGGTGTGTGGTGGTGGTGCCCAACAAATCAAATCCATTCGAGATCTTCTCCAAAATCACACAAAGCGGCCCATTTAAAATCAGTGTATGATATTTGGAGTGCGTTTAATAATGTTTTCGTTTTTATGAGTTTTTTTATAAAAAAAACAAAGTAAATTCTTATTTTTTTTGTAATAAAAATTAAAAATACAAAACAAATTATTTATATTTAAAAACTTATAAAAACAAAAATAAAAAATATGTTTGGTATTATTCCAAAAATTCACCGCACAACACCACCGCCAAACACCCAACCACCACCACCATCCCCATCCCCTGAAACCCAGCACCACCCAACAACACCCATTTTCGAGACCACTTCAATATTCCTATCCTCATCATCAAAGAAAAGCATTGAATCAAATGGTATCCCAGTTTTCCTATGAATTCTTTGGAAATGCTCCGTTTTGTGTGTCCAACTGGAGAATATCTCCTCAGCCACAGATATGGATCGGATTCCCAATCTGTCAAGAAATGTTGTTGCTATCCCAAGAGTTGGTGATCTAGAAGCAATAGCCATATCAATTCCTTTGTCCTTAAGAGCGTATAATATTCTGGTAGCTTGTGGAAACAATGATGGCATTTCATCNTGTTTTAGATGATTCTATATTTTAGCCTTATTTTTAAAACAGGAGAATTCAAAAATAAATAAAAACATTCATCAAACACATTTTTATATTTTTTTACTATAAAATGAAAACAAAAACGAAAAAATAACAGGTNAATAAAAACATTCATCAAACACATTTTTATATTTTTTTACTATAAAATGAAAACAAAAACGAAAAAATAACAGGTTATCAAACACTACCTTGATTACTCTGTAATTTTATGCACTTCCAATGCAACCATATTATTCCAATGCAGTCATATTATATAGATACTAGTTATTGCATGTAGTTGAAGGGACAAAGTAATAAAAATTGATAAATAATAAATATATTTATATTTATATTTAAAATCAAATCACAAATATAGAAAAAAAATTTAAATATCGATTTTTGGTATTAGGGGCGGTGGCAGTGGCGGTGGTGGTGGTGGTGGCGACGGCGACGGCGATGGTGGTGGTAGTGATGGCGTCGATGCCAGTGGTGGGAGTGGTGGTGGTAGAGGCGGTGGTGGTGGTGGCGACAATGGCGACAACAATGGTGGGAGGGTAATAAATGTGGTGGTGGGACAGTTTCAAACATTATTTTTTTGTAAAGTATTTATGAAAAATAATTTATAAAAATACTTTTTAAAAAATCACTCTAAACACACATTTATGAGTCTATTTTNAAAAATAATTTATAAAAATATTTTTTTAAAAATCACTCTAAACACACTCTTATGAGTCTATTCTTCTATTAAAATTATTTTGTTTATCTTTTAAGATTTGAATTATAAATTATTTTATTATATAAATATAGATATATTATAAACATATGCACATATAGGCGAATTGAAGGATAACCATATTTTTGAAGCCAGACACTCCCAGACGAAAATTACCACCTCCCCCGCATGCGCAGCCGCCATTTAATTTTATTACTAAATTAAACTCACTCAATTTTCCATGAATCTGCAGGTGATAAATCAGATCATGCTGCAAAACTAATGGTCCTACCACCATACCCATTACAACCCTCAAAGTTCAGAGGATTTTTGAATTTTTTTTTTTTAAANAAACTCACTCAATTTTCCATGAATCTGCAGGTGATAAATCAGATCATGCTGCAAAACTAATGGTCCTACCACCATACCCATTACAACCCTCAAAGTTCAGAGGATTTTTGAATTTTTTTTTTTTAAAAAAAAAGAAGCAGAAAAAAGGCAGTTTAAAGAGAAAAATTCAGGCATCGGTGTATCGGGTGAAGCAAGTAAAACTAAAAGGAAACAGAAGCTGGTGCAATAATTGGGGTGCCTCCTTTATAGCAATACACAATGATTCTAAAAAAGGAAACAGAAGCTGTTATTGATTCTCAAAAAGGCCAATACCAGAAGAGTTATTCATAGTTCTCCCAGCAAGAGGTGCTTACGAGCCGCGCTTGACAATCCTTGGTGTGCTGGTTCCTATTGTTGAAGGGGTGGATTTGACTCGGGCTCCCATACCAAGCTTAAATTTTTGTTTTAGACTCAGCTCATTGAGAAAACAAACAGTTCAGGCTGCATTCGTCCACCCTCATTTTTTAGTGCGAGCTTGAAACCGAACTCAAACTCAGATATAACAATGATAACCAAGTTAAGGGGATCAAGCACAAAACAATCACATCCAAACCAACCAAACAGTAACACACAATCACAGAACATATAAACCCAGAAACTAAAACCCCGAATTTTAATTCTAAAAGTGTTGGGAAAAATGTAAATAATGTAGGCAGCTAAGCATAATAAAGAGTAGTTAATGAGCTGTGGGTCTGAGATGAAGGCATGCAGAACTGAGAGCTTGAGCTGCGCAGCTGAGCTGAATGTTTTCAAAGCTGAGAGCTTGAGCTGATAGCTGGGAAAAACTATCTGATAAGGCTGAGAATACTATCGGATAAGGTAGTTGAAAGGGTTGCCGCAGAATATTAATGGTCAGAGGATAAGCTGACTTGATAGGTAATTGCAGCAATTGAAAGGCAGAGCTACTTATCTCATAAGGTAGTGGAACCGACACCGAAGCCAGAGAGATAGCCCAATGTATCTGCCCAGAAGCAGAAAAACTTTCTAAGAAACAAAAAACTCTGCCTTGGGATAGGCATGACAATGGCGATTCAAGTCCATATTTCTCCTCCCTAAAACGATGTTGAAGATGAATATCCAGCAGAATTTCTTCATTGAATCGAGTAATCTTCGCAAATCCATGGAGAAGATGAATATCCAGCTCTGTTGCAGAAAGACAGCCATCGAAAGGTAAAGAAACCCAAGGCCAGAAGGCATTTAGAGGTCTCTTAAGCTTCAGATGAATGACTATCCAAAAGCTAGAGATCTTGAGAAGACACCTCTGCAGAAAGACAACCTCTGAGCTATGAACAGAAAGATCCATTGAAGAACGAAGAAAATTATCCAAAAAAATATCAAGATTCTGAAGAGACTCCTCAAGTGAAAAACTCTGGATTGAATCCTGTGAAGCAGTCTGTAGAGATTTCCATTGAACTAGACTCCCAAACAACCAGCGCATGAAAATAGATGAAATACAAGCCCACTGGAGAGAAGTCCAATGCAAAGACCACTGGAAATTGAGAAGGATCCCAGCAGGCAAGTGAAGCAAATTCCAAAACGGATCCTTCGATCTTTGATGCACAATTTGAACATCTTGTTCTCTGTTGAGAAAGAGACAAAGCCACCCAGAAAAAGGTGCAATGAAAAGTCGTCCAAGCTCTATTATTCCCAACAGTCAAATACTAATACAAAAAGGAGCAACAGCCTTGAAGAACAGGCCACAGATAACCAGCAGATCCATGTAGAAGTCTCTGCACAATGATGGCCTGAACCATGAACAGAGATTGCAAGAGCATGGGGAGAGCCCAATTCCTGAGAAAAGAAGTCCTTGAAGCAAAAGGTACTGCCTCCTATCTTCTGTTACATGAGTCATGTACTTCTGTTCATCCCTAGGTCTAGATGAACCCAGGATTTCTTCTGCCTTACTATTTTAATCTGCCTCTGATCTTGTAAAAGTAGAGCTCTTGCTTGTGATGGTAATGAAATTGATGAAATAATGTGTGTATCTGCCTTGTCTAGAACCCCTTTCCTGGCCAAATAATCGGCCACCATGTTGCCCTCTCTAAATGTATGAACCAATGTACATGTCAAATTACCCAACCTCCTAGAGATTCGAGTAATTAGGTCCATGAGTTTCCATGGAATACGTATTTTCCCAGCAATCATGTCTAACAGTACTTGTGAATCTGACTCGATTATGAGTGGATAGACAAGTAAACCATACTCTTCCAAACCATCCAAAATAGCTCTTCCTTCAGCTTCCAGATTAGTACCCTTCCCATAATAAAATGAAACTGCAATCACCAGCTGTCCCCACTGATTTCATAGAACTGCCCCTCCCCAGCCTCTCCTGGATTTCCATGAGAGGCTCCATCCGAATTAATTTTGAGGGAACCCTCTGGAGGGAACTCCCAGTTAATCCATCGAGCTGTTCATACCAAAGTAGTATTAGCTGGCACCTGTAATTCAGATAGTAGTAGTTTACCTTGACGACAGTCAGCAGCTCTAGGCCTCACTACATGCCCTTGCAACTTTAAGTAATATTATACAATAGAAACCATACATGATGCATGTAGCTTAGCTCCCTCAAATAATGTCCTGCACCTTTCCCTCCACAACTTCCAGTAAATTAGAAGTGATATGCCTCTAATTAGAGAATGACTGTAGGATTTCTTAGGAAAAGCCCTGTTCAGTCTAAAAAATCTCATCATAGGTGCCTCATGCTGAATTTAACAAAATCCCCTTTTATTTGCAAACTTGTTCCACACCTCCATTGCATATGCACATTCAATAAACATGTGTAAGTAGGACTCCTCCCCCTCACCACACAATGGGCATTTACTGGCCAAGGAGACCCCTATATTTTGGAAAACTTCATCCATAAGTAAGACATCCTAAACCCCAGTGTTATGAAAAGCGTGCCTAGGCGCTCACCTAGGCGAGGCGAGGCGAGAGTAGCTCGCCTGGAGGACTTCAGACGAAGCGAACATGAGCGAAGCGAGAAAAANTAGGACTCCTCCCCCTCACCACACAATGGGCATTTACTGGCCAAGGAGACCCCTATTTTTTGGAAAACTTCATCCATAAGTAAGACATCCTAAACCCCAGTGTTATGAAAAGCGTGCCTAGGCGCTCGCCTAGGCGAGGCGAGGCGAGGCGAGAGTAGCTCGCCTGGAGGACTTCAGACGAAGCGAACATGAGCGAAGCGAGAAAAAAGCGAGAAAAAACGAAGAAGCGAAAAAAGCGAAAAAGCGTTCGCTTTTGTTATAAGAGGCGAAATATTTTATTTTTAATTTAGACCGTTGGATTGGGCGATTGCAAAAAAAATTATAAGATGTTGATGTACCGAATTATTCCNGGCGAGGCGAGGCGAGAGTAGCTCGCCTGGAGGACTTCAGACGAAGCGAACATGAGCGAAGCGAGAAAAAAGCGAGAAAAAACGAAGAAGCGAAAAAAGCGAAAAAGCGTTCGCTTTTGTTATAAGAGGCGAAATATTTTATTTTTAATTTAGACCGTTGTATTGGGCGATTGCAAAAAAAATTATAAGATGTTGATGTACCAAATTGTTCCCTTATCCTATAAATACAACCCTTAACCTAATTTTTTCTCAAATAGGCTTCGATTGGTGCTGCTGCTCCATTGCTACATGATCGGACAAGGCTTCGATTCTTTCTCGATTGGTGCTGCTCCACTGCTACGCGATCGGACAAGGCTTCGATTTTTCACAAGCTGGTGCTGCTCCACTGCTACAAGATCGCTGGACAAGGCTTCGATTTTTTCGGTGCTTCTACACCATCGTTGTTGCTGGACAGAGATATCGCTAGTCTGGACTGTGTCTCTTCTTCTTCTCTCTTCTACTCCTTCACCGATTCTGCTTATGCTCCTTTTTTTTTTTTTCCTGCTCTGATTCTGCCCTATTCTACTCTATTTTTTTATTTATCTGCTACTCCGATTGTGCTTCTTTTTCTTTTTTTTTTGTCATTATGCTTCTGTTTTTTTTTTNCTCTGTCACTGCTCCTACTGATTTCTTCGTTACTCGCTGCTCACGCTGGAGGCTGGACAAACCGACAGAGTCTCCTTCCTCGTTGATCGTTGCACAGGTTAATCTCCTTTTTTTTTCTCTCTCTTCTATTTCTCTTTTTTTCTTTTCTTTTGTTGGTTCTAGATCTTCTTCCTCGCTGATCATTGCTAATTAATAACATTTATGTTCCTTTTTTTTTTCCTGATTTCCTGATTCTGATTTTGACTGTGCTTACTGATTGTGCTTCTGATTGTGCCCTGATTTTGATTTTGCTGTTTTGTTGTTCTGTTTTACTGTCTTGAAATTTGATTCAGTACATGTGTATAAGCCTACGAATGTACATAAAAATAAATTTATAAAAACAACTGTGGTTGATTGATATACTTTAACAAAAACACATTTGGTTGATATACTTTAAAATTATATTCAGTACATATCATGTTATTTTTGTTGATTTTCTGTACTGTTTTGTTCCTTTGATTGTAGTATGACACTGTGATAGTGTCCTCATTCATAAACAAATAAATGGCATCGTCGTCCAAATGAAACAAAAAAGATCCGGCATGAAAATATGCACACTTGGTAAATCCTAAAAACCCAAACAAGTTCAAATACAATTTTTTGTGGAAAAGAGTCAAATGGAGGTGTCAATCGGGTGAAGCAACACCTTGCGGGGAACTCTACCAGTGTTATTACTTGTCCAAAATGCCCTGCTCATGTTAGGGAGGAGATTAGAGAATACATGGCTAAAAAAAATAGAAGAATCTAATGAACATGGTTCCCGACTTTAATGAGATGCCTAATGACTTGGAGGAGGATGAAGATGATATTGTAGAGATTGTTGCAAATCGTAAAAGATCCATGGCTAGTTCTAGTCAAGGTACTACACAAGCCACATAGAGACCAAAAAAGCCAAGACAAAAAGAGCCAATGGATGTATACTTCACCCCTGATCCGAATGTTGTGGTGCAAAATTGAAAGACCAAGGGGAGACAAACGAATATTGATGTCAATGATCCTTTTAGAAAGGAAATGAGAGAAAGAGTCATCACAACATTTACCCGATGGATGTATGACACGGGAATTCCCTTTAATGTTGTGAACTATGAAAGTTTTGCAGCAATGGTTGAAGCTTTTGGACAGTATGGTCCTGGTTTGAAACCCCTTTCTTACCATGAGGTTCGGGTCCCATTGCTCAACAAAGAAGTAGGGCATATCAAGTCATAGATGAAAGATCACCAAGAGGATTGGGCAAAATATGGATGTTCCATAATAGCCGATGGATGGACTGACAAGAGAGGGAGAACCTTGATTAATTTCTTAGTGAATTGTCCAAAAGGGACCATGTTCTTTGAATTTGTTGATGCTTTTGCATACGAATTGCTTGATAATTTTGTAGAGCGTATGGTGAAGCTAATGTGGTTCAAATTGTCACTGACAATGCGGCACCAAATGTGTTAGCAGGTATGAGCTTCTTGAAAAAGAAAGATAACTACTTGTTATATTGAATTTTTTATGCACATTAGTTGATAAAAAATCTTTATTTAATAGGTAAGTTTTTGGAGGCAAAACGACCCAACCTATATTGGACGCCATGTGCTGCCCACTGCTTGGACTTGATGTTGGAAGATATCTTCAAGTTGCCAAACTTCAAGAGAACATTTGAGAGAGGAATAGTATTACACAATTATATTTATAACCGTCCAACTCTGTTGAATATGATGAGACGATCTACCCAGTCAAGAGAGTTAATTAAGCCCGCAAAAACTAGATTTGCTATGACTTCTTACTCTAACAAGGATCAACCAATAAAAAAATAACTTGAGAAAAATGTTCACTTCAGAGGAATGGACTACAAGCAAATAAGAAAAAGAATAACAAGGCAAAAGGACTGCACAAATCATTTTAATGCCTTCATTTTGGAGTAATGTTGTCTACTCTCTTAAAGCTTACTGGCCCTCTTGTTCGTGTGCTTCGATTGGTTGATGGTGAGAAGAAGCCTCCCATGGAGTACATTTATAAAGCTATGGACCGGGCTAAAGAAGCGATTGCTAATTCTTTTAATGGCAGTGAAGAGAAATACAAACACATGTTTGAAATCATTGACCGAAGGTGGGAAGTTCAATTGCATCAGTCTTTGCATGCAGTTGGGTATTTTTTGAACCCAGAGNCAGAAGCCTCCCATGGAGTACTTTTATGAAGCTATGGACCGGGCTAAAGAAGCGATTGCTAATTCTTTTAATGGCAATGAAGAGAAATACAAACACATGTTTGAAATCATTGACCGAAGGTGGGAAGTTCAATTGCATCAGTCTTTGCATGCAATTGGGTATTTTTTGAACCCAAAGTTTTTCAATTCCAATCCAGAGGTTGAGAAAGATCAAGAAGTCATGAATAGCCTATATAAATGTTTGGAAAAGTTGGTCCCAAATCCTACGATACAAGATAAAATTGGTCAAGAGTTGAGTATTTACATGAAAGGTGAAAACCTCTNATTGGGTATTTTTTGAACCCAGAGTTTTTCAATTCCAATCCAGAGGTTGAGAAAGATCAAGAAGTCATGAATAGCCTATATAAATGTTTGAAAAAGTTGGTCCCAAATCCTACAATACAAGATAAAACTGGTCAAGAGTTGAGTATTTACATGAAAGGTGAAAACCTCTTTAAGTTGCCCATGGCAGTTAGACAAAGAACAACGAGGGCAACAGGTAATCTATGTTATCCCACAANTTTATTTCATTACAACTCCAAATTTGCAAACCTTTGCAAAAAAAGTTTTAAGCCTTACTTATAGTGCATCCGATTGTGAGAGACATTGGAGTGTGTGTGAACATGTGAGNAGTTAGACAAAGAACAACGAGGGCAACAGGTAATCTATGTTATCCCACAAGTTTATTTCATTATCATTGCTTAAATATGTTAGTTAATTAATTGTTATTCATTATTCACAGCTGATTGGTGGAGTGCATATGGGTCTGCAACTCCAAATTTGCAAACCTTTGCAAAAAAAGTTTTAAGCCTTACTTATAGT